TGTGAGAGAGAGAGAGAGAGAGAGAGAGAGAGAGAGAGAGAGAGAGAGAGAGAGAGAGAGAGAGAGAGAGGTCTGTTCTTTAAGTTCTGTGACTCTAGAGAACCCTGACTAATAGAGGAATATTTTGGATAATTATCTATAGATCCCAAGTAACATAATAATGCAATCTACCAATTAATTATCTGTGAAACAAATAATGCCCTCTTTACCAGTAAGGGGTTATTTCTATGAGTTACTGCTTTAGCAACTGCATTATTTAATAAATTAATAACCTGCTCTGCTTTAGCTGTTACATTTGTTGTAGAATTTAACTGAGACTTTCCAGAAAGCAATTTTTTTTGGGGGGTGGGGGTTCAAGGCAGGGTTTACCTGTGGTTTTGGAGGCTGTCCTGGAACTAGCTCTTGTAGATCGGGCTGGTCTCAAACTCACAGAGATCCGCCTGCCTCTGCCTCCCTAGTGCTGGGATTAAAGGCGTGTGCTACCATTACCGAGCCCAGAAAGTAAAGAGCAGAGTTAACTCCTTAGTAATGATAAACAGACAAAAGCATACTCAATGGCGACCTAAACTTTTAAATTTTGCTCTTACCATGAAAGTTAAGCATTTTTTTAAGCATTGGTTAGATGAGCAGAAGAAGAGAACATCCATATAATGAATGACTAATACCTCTGGAGATTTAAACAGCATTGGCTTAGTGCTTTATGCCCTGGTTGCAATGGTTTCTGTACTAGAAGTTGAGCATGTTTTCATTTTTTTTTCCCATGAAGGGACCATATTGAGTTATTCCTGCTATGAGGGAAAAACAAAACTATTTAAGCAAAGATCAAGCAAACCAATAAAAACTCTTGTTCTTCGGCAAGAAAGCTAGCTCATGTTTTAGTGGTGGAGTCCCACAGGTCATTCCTTGTTCCTTGGAACTCACTCAGCTCCACCAGACCTTTTGTGTGTGGGGGGGGTGAGGGGGGTTCGAGGCAGGGTTTCTCTGTGGCTTTGGAGGCTGTCCTGGAACTAGCTCTTATAGACCAGGCTAGTCTCGAACTCACAGAGATCCGCCTGCCTCAGCCTCAGTGCTGGGATTAAAGGCATGCACCACCACCACCTGGCTCCACCAGACCTTGGAGGGAAAAAAAAAAAAGCTGCAGGAGTCCTAGCCAGTTAACTCTGGAGATCGAGAGTCCTAATATGGCTCTAATGTTACAGAGGTGTATCTCTGAATATTTTTCTCCTTTGGATCTTAACAAATATCTCAATAACTGCATGAAAAGTTTTGTCTCAAAGGACTGAGAGGAACTCGTGTTAGTTTCCACTCTCACTTACAGTCTCAATTCCTTGGGTGAGAGGTTTCCTAAACCTCCTAATTTCCATTTGAAGGAAACTTTCCTTACCTTCTCCCATGTCACATGTTGTGGTGCCAGCTGTGGTGGTTTCCCCTGTGGGCTTTACAGCAGGCAGGAAAAAGACAATTAGGGTGAGGTAAGAAGGAAACTCGGTTCAGCTGATTTTTGGTAACCAGCACTGGCCCAGGACTTCTAGTGTCTGCCCAGATCATTTCACTTTAGCCTTACTTAAGCACAGCACAATTTTGGAAAAAAACACTATTCAGATAACAATTAACTCAGTCCCAAGTTCACAGCTATTGAAGACATGCTTACATTGAAGCTCTTTGCAATGTACACATGGCTTCATCTGTACAATGGTTTCTTGTGGACTGAGGAACAATAAGCAGGATAAGGGTCTAGGTAGCATGACTGAGGTAAACACAATGCATATGGGTGTTGGGATTGACCTGGCCCTAAGATAAAACAAGTCACTGAGGCTGTCATAGCACAAGTGACATCACTCATAAGACTGGGTCTTATGGTCTAAAAGCAATGCTCAAGATTTAGGGGGAAAGGTCTTGGGTAAGTAAAACCAGAAATTTTGGAGATTCAGCAGAGCCTGTCTCATCAGACAGCAAAGTCACTAGACCTTAAAACAATATCATTCCTGGTGTTCCAGGAAGAGCAGCTATGCACCTCATTCCACTGAGAGGAAAGCTGTGTGTTTAACTTTCCTGGCTTCTCCAGTGTTTATGTGTGCACATGGCCTCTGCCCTCCACACAAGAGCATTTAGATGAGTCCTTGGGCCCAAGGACACAGCCTCACCTTCTTGGATAACTGTCCTAATCTGGAGGGTAGTCTGTCCTGTGAGGTGTTGCTGTTCTTAGAATCCAAGGTGGCTGGATGTGGTGGTGCACCGCCTTTAATCCTGGCACTGAAGGCAGGTAGATCTCTGAGTTCAAGGCCAGCCTGGTCTACAGAGTGAGCTCTAGGACAGCCAGGGCTACACAGAGAAACCCTGTCTCAAAAAAAAAAAAAAAAAAATGAAAATTGCTTCATGACTTCAGTAAAGGAGAGACAATAAAGACAGGTGTCAGACTCATTCTGCTTTTAGTTACCTTGTGGGGTCAATTGAGGAGTCTGAGTTTTAACCAAAACAGCCGTGTTTGCTTCAGTAAGAAAGCAGTTACTGATTCTGAATGCCACTAGACTCAGCAATCGCCTCTCACAACCACCAGAGGTCAGGGTGGAAGCCTGAGTCTGTTTGGGGGGCTCAATACCAGGGCCGCATGAGGACCTGGCTTTGAAGGGCCCATGAGGCATACTGTGCCAAAGCCAGCTGCCTAGGCAGCCAGCCTTGTTCTGAGCCTGGGAGCCGGGCTGGTGTCCTTTGACTCCGAACCCCCAAGGCTGGGTTCAGAGCTCAGGCAGTGGGTTTTAGGAGCACAGCAGCTGCTGCTGAATGTCCATCTATCAGCCTTCCTGGGGAGCACCCAGGCAGGGGGAGGGGCCCAGACACTATTTACAGGGATTGCCTGGATCTTACAGGGGGAGGAGCCTGTTCAGCACTGTTTACCTGCCTTGGTATGAGTGGCTAAACATCCAGTCCCATTCTGCCTGAGGTAACCCAGAGCTGAAGTTGCCTGACCACTGCACCTATTGCCTAGGTCTTTGTTGGACTTTCTTTGGGAACGCTACAAGTCATCTAACGCCGCGGACCACTGGAACCATGGTAGGAATGGTAGGGGCCCATGATGCAGCCAGTAGATTAGGCCAGCTGTGAGCCAGGTGTGGGACGGCAAAGTCTGGCCAAGACTGGAGCCATGGGGACCCTTCAAGTGCACTTGAGGAACTGTTGAGGTGTTAGAAGAGGTATGAGAGTAGAAGGTCTAGCTTGGACTCTTAACACCTTCATTGGGCCTCTGCAAGCTAGAGGAAGACCCCTTTTCTCTCTGAGCCTTGATTTTTGGCAGCTGAGAGAGGACTAATATCCTCTGTTTGATGACATTATTGTAAAGATCTAGTAAGATATGACACATAGACCCAGCCTGTCTGGCTATTACAGTGGTGTGCATCAAACAGAATTATGATTCCCAGGCTGGAGCCTAAAAAGATGATATTGCCATTTAGTCCCCGAGACACACCCCTTCCCTGCTAGGGAAGCCAGACCCCAGCCTCAAGGGCCACCTCTGCCAGCTCTTTGCCTACAGTCCTACTGGCCTGCAGCACTCTTATCTGCTTATCTTCTATCAGCAATGTGCCCGGAGCAGGGATTGACCTGAGTCCTGGTTTATTAAACTCCATCCTTGTTTGACCCATACCATCCTCTTGGCCTCAGAATGGGCAGAATTCCCATCTGTCTGATCAGGAGGGATCACAAGATAACATCAGGAAGCCCTGTATGGGCTGCCAGCTTCAGAGCAGCCGCCATCCCTTTGATCTTCCTAAGTGGCCCCGACCCAAGAACCGAGGAAGCCAAAGAGCTGGGGCTCTGGTGTGGCCATGTCCTCCCGTCTTTGTGATGATATATGGGGTTGATGGTTTGACAGCATACAGTTAGGACAGAGTGGCTGCTCACCCACTGAGACCTGGCTTTCTTCCTGGTACAGGTTCATGGGCATAAAGGGGTCCAGTTCCAAAACTGGGCGAAGACCTATGGCTGCTGTCCAGAGATGTACTACCAGCCCACATCGGTGGAGGAGGTCAGAGAGGTGGGTCCATCAACAACACAAGGGCTGCCCAGCCTGCAGCCACAGTCCTAGCCCTACAACACAGGCACATGTAGGGCTTCAGTCCCTAACTGCTGGCCTGGTTGGGTAAACACAGAGCTCCTCTTTCTGCTTTCCCCAGCTCCACATATGCCCATCAGCCTATTTGTTTTGTTTTCGAGACAGGTTCCTCTGTGGTTTTGGAGGCTGTCCTGGAACTAGCTCTTGTAGACCAGGCTGGTCTCAAACTCACAGAGATCCACTTGCCTCTGCCTCCCGAGTGCTGGGATTAAGGTGTGTGTCACCAACACCCGCCTCCGTCAGCCAGTTGTAATTTTCCATGCTGCCCCAAGCCTGCCTAGCAGTGTGCCAAGGGCAGCCATGTCTGCACTCCCCTCTCAGACTTCTGCAGTGAACTCCAAGCATACACTTGTGCACATGCATACGAATGAACATACATGCATGCAGACTGTGCATGTGCACACATAGGCCTCTGCATGCAACTGCAAATTCACACACTTGTACATCCATCTATGCACAGGCACACAAATAGGTCTGTGCACAGATATCTGGGCAAATGCACATTTATGCATATATATAATATATGCATAATATTATATAAATATGTACTTAGGCCTGTGCACTTGCTCATGTAGGCTTGTACATACATACACACATATACACATATATGCACATATATGTACAAACACGTGCATAGACTCACATTTACACTCCCCTATGGGATGACCTTCTAAGAAGAATCAGGGTTACTAGCGAAGGACACTAGTGTAGGGACTGAGGACTGTACCCTAAGAGACAAAGAAGAAGCGCCAGGGTGAGAAGCTGGAACTAAAGCAAGGTGGCTTTTACGGAGCTTGGGAAATTAAGGGATGAGGGAGGGAGCCAGCAGTGTGCTTCTGTCATAGCTACCCAAGAAGATGGTTTCCGGGATGTGCTAAGCCCACATGACCTTGTGGCACTAACAGGGTAAGAGGTAGTGTTTCCTTGGAGGACCAGCAAAACCCAGTGAAAATGAAAATAGGTTTACGGCCAAGCAGCTCCAGGCTTGTGGTGTGACACAATGTCCTGCTCAGCCTCAGCCTAAAACGTACCGTGGGAGGAGCAGGCCGTATAGTCAGCATTTCTCAGTAGTTGATTTCCAATTGCCAATGAAGGCTTTGTGATAGAATGTGGGTGCCCAGAATGTGTTTGAGTATAGGCGCAAGGAGGTGGAGTCACTGAAGCAGCATTGGAACCATGTGTTTATCTCCAGACACTATCTACCTGTTCCAGCCCTGGAATAGGTCACAGTCCAGTCTGCCACAGTCACCATTCTCTAGGGGCCTTTACTGAAGTGTGGGTGTAGACTAAGGGTTCCTTGAAGCCATGTTGAGGCAATTGGGTCCTATCCTGTCACTAGGATATCTTCAGAAGTTTTTTATTGTTGAAGAATGCAGTGGAATTTGTCTTTTAAAAGCTTTGAGCTAGAGTTGGTTAGAGATCTACCTCAGCCGATAGAGAGCTTGCCTCACGTGCATGGAGCCCTGGGTTCCATCCCCAGTGCTGCACATAGCATCCTGGTTATATATGCTATGGTCCCAGCACTGAGGAGGCAGGAAGATCAGGAGTTCAAGGCCAGCTTTGGCTATACAGTGAGTTTGAGGCCAGCCTGGGCTATATAGGTCTCAGAAAGGAGGGTTCCTCAAACTGGCCCATATGGTGGCTCTGTAATTCCACCATTTATGGGAGGAAGAAGATCACAAACAAGCTTGGATCACATAGCAAGATCTTGTCTAGAACCAAAATGGAAAGAAGGCCTGAAGCTGCAGTAGGAGGAAGGAGAGACACACACTAGAAGGACTGTGGTTCTGTCCCAGCTTACATCAAAGTCCATCTGTCCGGTTCTCTAGAGCCAGGCAGGGTACACTAATACCAAAGGCTCCCCCTGCAACATCTCCCCACCCCCTGCAGTCTACACCCAACCCTGAAGGGCCCCTGGCTTCCACTCTGAGCAGGTCCTGACTGGCATTGTCTCCACAGGTGCTGACCCTGGCTCGGCAGCAGAACAAGAGAGTGAAGGTGGTGGGTGGTGGCCATTCACCTTCAGACATCGCCTGCACTGATGGCTTCATGATCCACATGGGCAAGATGAACCGGGTTCTCCAGGTACTGAGGCCCTTGGCTCCTCTCCCTGCTACTTCCTAAGCTGAATAGCCATAGTCATGCATGAAATCTCCCAGCCTTTGTCTTAGTCCTCAGCTTCTTCCTGCCCTGTGTCATCAGAGTGAGACCCTCATCCCTGGCCTTTCCCTGAGCAGCTGTAACCCGAGCACTCCCTGGGCTTGGTCAGGCCACTTGTCAAGTCTGTCTGGCCCTTTGTGGTCACAGAGATGCCCCCCCCCCCCCCCCCCCCCCCCCCCCCCCCCCCCGATGTCTTGCTATAGCTTCCATTCCACCTCATTCAAAGAAGTATGGAGAAACAGACTCCCAAAAAGTAGACTCACAGTGACTAATCCAGAAGAATCCCAAGTGACATTGAACTAGGCTTACAAACAGAGAAATGAAGATCTGCGACTTGCCCGTGGTCACACAGCTAATAACAGCAAAGCTGGACCCAGACTCAGCACTGCCACTAGCTTCCTTTTGGAATACTGTCCATGCAGTTCAGCCAGCACCCACTTGGGATCCCAGGAATGTGTACTTAGTTAGGACTGTAGTCCTTACCCGCCAAGGGCTGGTTCCCTTGGGTCCCTTGAATTACACAGAATGCTCTTCCCTCCCTGCAGCCAGCTCGCAATGACCTAGGCTTCTCGCCTGTGCCGGTTTTTGCCACACTGACAGGCTCTTCTCTTAGTCATGGTAGTAATTAACTCTGATTGCTAATTAGTGAGGACTGAGCTTCAGCAATTGATTTTCCGAGCTCTGTGCCCTGGGTGGCTGGACGAGCCAGTGCTTAGTAGTTGGGCAGATGTGGACTCTTGCCCCAGCTCTGTCACCGACTTCTCTGTTTGCATGACCTTAGATCTTGGTATAGCCCCTGAGCTGCTGTTGGATCTCAGGCTCTCACCCTGACATGGCCAATGCAGACACCCAGCAGAAAGTTGTGTTTAGCCATTTCTCTTCCCTTCCCAGTTCTTGACCATTGCCTAAGACTTTGTCCTCCAAATAGCACAGCCAGGCCCTGTGGCAACAGATCATGTCTCAGTTTCCCAGTGAGGACAAGGCGAGGAAAACGGGTGTGGCCTAGTCCCCATCCTAGCCCAAGTGTCCCTGGGTAAAGCTCTTCACTTCTCTGGCTCTCATTTCCTTCGCCTGTGAAAAGAGCCGTTGCATGGAACATCCCAAAAGGGCTAGAAGTGAGGCTTAGCAGAGTATGCTTGCCCAGCATGTGCAAAGACGCAGGTCCTGTTTACAATACTAAATAAAGAGCTGACTTGGTGAGACCAGCACCAAGGAACTGAGGCATCCTTAACCCCTCTGTTTGGAAGGTGGATGCAAGAGAACTACACGTTTGAGCCAGCCTGGGCTACCTAGTAAGTCTCTGTTTCAAAAATCAAATTTTTGCCCAATGTTCCAACATCCTTGGGCTCAATACCCCCTTTTAGATAGAAAAGTGTGTTCAAGCTGGCCACAGGCTAGGATAGCCATACTCACACTCCAGAGGGGTCTGACTGGAGAGCAAGGGTCTGTGTGTGGTCTAGTTCCTCCCAGCCTATGCTGGCTCTTGCAGGTGGACAAGGAGAAGAAGCAGGTAACAGTGGAAGCTGGAATCCTCCTGACCGACCTCCACCCACAGCTGGACAAGTATGGCCTGGCCATGTCCAAGTAAGAGTCCCTCCTCTGGCCCAGGGTGGGCCAGGGCCGCCTCTCCCCTCTTTGCTCTGGGCCCTACTCTCAAGGATGTGGCAGTGAGACAGTCACACTTCTTGGGGTGTACTCCTATCTCAGAGATCTGCCTTCCCAACTCAGGGTGCCTTTGGTAGTTAGAGGAAAGGGCCTACTAGGCTGCAGGCCCCAAAGGCTAAACAGCTAGGCCTCACTGCAATCAGCTTATCTGCTGGTCTTGGTGATCAGGGAACTGAGGCCCAGAGAGATGAGCTGACCATAAGTTGAGCCATCCAAAGTGAAGAGAGGATTCACAGGCATAAAGAGGGGCTTTGGCTGGTGAAGTGGTGGCGCACGCCTTTAATCCCAGCACTCAGGAGAGACATGCAGATCTCTGCGAGTTTGAGACCAGCCTGGTCTACAGAGCAAGTTCCAGGACAGCCTCCAAAGCAATACAGAGAAACCCTTTTTGGAAAAGGGAGTCTTCTGTCCAGGGAGCGTGTACTTCACCTGGGGCTCCCATTGTCCTGAGAAGTCTGACTGATCTCTGTCACTCTTGTTCTACCTGCTGAGCCCAGTCTAGGAGCAGTGTCTGATGTGACAATTGCTGGTGTCATTGGATCTGGAACACATAACACAGGGGTCAAGCATGGCATTCTGGCCACCCAGGTGAGTCTTCTGTGTTCATGGCATGTTAGGTCCAGCTCTGCATGGGCCTGAGACACTTGACAGTGTCCCTAGAAACACAACTTCCTTCCCTAAACCTTACCAGTCCTGAACGAGCCCCAGGCTTGTCAATGCTTTAGCCATCCCAAAGGACACTCTCATCCCCAACCCTGCGTCCTCTTAGGCAGCACAGGACAAGGGGTGCCAATTCCACTGGAAGTTATAACCAGGAGCCAGGCAGGGGATGGGACTACCGCAGGGGAGTAGTGGAGATAGGGTCTGGGGAAGGCATAGGAGTAACCCGTGTCAGAGTCTGCCTGTGCTTCATTTAAAAAAAAACAAACACATTTTAATCCATCACTACCTGTGCACACTGGGAAGGGCCTCTAGCTTCTGGGTACATTGCTGTCAAAATCCTCAGCTAAAATGAAAATAGCCCAACCCACAAGGAGAGGACATAGAGTGAAGATCGTGAGGTAGCAATTCAGAAGTACCTGCCTCAGGAACAGCCTTTCAGAAACCAAACACCTTCAACTTTCCACACTGTCAGCTTGGAGTTCTCCATGGCCGTTGCCATCTCAAAGTTGGCCTCACTGCCCAAGGGACCCCGTGGTAACTAGGGATATAGGCGGGGATCCCAAGATAGGAGCCCAGTCCTTTTCCCTGACGTTAAGATGGTCAATGTCCACTGCTACACATTGGTCATCAGGATGTAAAATTAATCTCAAGTGATCACTCAAAAAATGCACATAGGATTCATTGGTTACTTTTCTTTGGAAGCCCCACTGAGCTGGTCTGGAATCAAAGGGGAGGACTTGTTCTGTGTTATAGTCAGGCTGTTGGCAACTATAACAAAATGTCTGAGGAAAATCAGCTTCAAGAAGAAGTATATTTTTGCTCAATGGTTTTGGAGGAAAGGCATGACCCAGGAAAGTTAGCTACCATACAGCAGCCAGAATGGAAGACAGCAAAAGAAGGGGCCAGGGACAGGAAAGGCACTGTTAAGATAAATCTGCCAAAAGCCACCTGAACCCTACTACATTTCCCAGAATCCTCTTTGACTCCTAGTCCCATCTAACTTGCTGCCTCATTGGCCAAACAGTACTTTATTCAACAATCAATAAGATGAACATACACAGAAGTACATTCCCCATCAGGGCACACCCCCCAGTAGTGTGAGGTTTTTTTCCAGTTAGACCCCAACTCTTCATTTTTCACAACCTCCATCAAATTAGTCAACCTGTGGATCACTGAGGTTAGATCTGTCATGAGTTAATGGCTTCCCCTAAACCTGTCAGCTGGCAACCAAGACTTTATTTTTATTTATTTATTTTTGGTTTTTCGAGACAGGGTTTCTCTGTATTGCTTTAGAGGTTGTCCTGGAACTCGCTCTGTAGACAAGGCTGGCTTTGAACTCACAAAGATCCGCCAGCCTCTGCTTCCTGAGTGCTGGGATTAAAGGCGTGTGCCACCAATACCCAGCCAACCAAGACTTTAATACATGTAACTTTAGGGAACATTTCAGATTCAAGCAAAACTACAGAAACAAGGAAAAGGGTGGACAGCTCTCACATCTCACCAGCTTACAGCAGGGGATGTTCTCGGGCTTCATGCTTGCTCTTCTACCTTAGGTAGTTAGGACTATCATCAGTTAAGGTCACAGCAGTTAATACAAACCCCACCCTTCACAGGCTGTTAGATGCTTATGAAGCATCTCACAGGCACACTATTTTCAAGGCTCTGAATCTTCAACAGTGTCCAGCTTCTGTAACAAATACCGAGAGGCCCCCCTCTCTCTCACCACAGCTGGCCACAGTGTCCCATTTCTGTCAGTTCCTCCTCTCTGCTCTCTGGTCACTGTTAATCAGGATTAGTTCAGCTGTGGCTGTCCTCCCTGAGCAATCAACCACCAACTGCACACATCAGAAGCAATTTCCATCCAAATTAGTAAGTAGCAGAGTGCAGAGAGGGACCTCAACAACCATCAGAGACAGCCCTTCTGGAAGTAGAGACCTTGGGGACCTCCATCAGTTTGCAACCAAATGCCTCAATACTCACAGAAACCCAAACTTTCTGGTGAGGCGAAGCTAAGCAGGCGAAAGAGTCCTCTATGGAAGAGGAAGACTCCACATGGCTGGGCAAGGCTGCTGGGATCCCAATCCACTGTCCCATCTCAGGGCACATGCGTGTTCACTTGGCCTTGTCAAGCACCTCTCCTGGGGGCCTGTGTCCCCAGAGCATCTCTAGGCTACTGAGGCTAGCTGCTCCTTGAAGGAGGCCACAGAATGATGGCGGGCAAGCCACGCCAGAAGGGCCCCATGTGATAACACATGATGATGGGCTCCAGTCTGTTGAGACCTGAGTGCTGGTACCAGATACAGCTTTACACACACACACACACACACACACACACACACACACACATACACACACACACACACACACATACACACACACACACACACACATACACACACACACACACACACATACACACACACACACACACACATACACACACACACACACACACACACACACACACACACACACTCTTCCCAGAATGCCCTCTCACATAGCAATAATAGACCTGACAAGGAAGTGGTGTGGCTGACCATGGTACTCTGGGGGGCGGGGGGGTAGGAGCTACCTGGCCTCTGTTGTAAGGACAAGCCAGAAAGTGGAATGATAATTCTGAGCCGGGATATTAAGTGACACCTTTCCCACTGCCAGGTGGTGGCCCTGACCCTGATGACGGCTGATGGGGCAGTTCTGGAGTGCTCTGAGTCAAGCAATGCAGATGTGTTCCAGGCTGCACGGGTGCACCTGGGCTGTCTGGGCGTCATCCTCACTGTGACCCTGCAGTGCGTGCCACAGTTCCACCTCCAGGAGACATCTTTTCCTTCGACCCTCAAGGAGGTACTAGTCTTTTGCTCTTCACTGCCCAGCCTCAGAAAACAGATGGAGGTCCTGGCCAGGAGTCCAGCCCTCAGACAGTTCCCATGGACCTTTGGTGCCCTCAAGGAGGTGTGTGTGTGGGGGGGTTGGGTCTCACTTCACCACCATTTTCTTTCTTGGTCCAAGAGAGACTGTGGTCAGAACCCTGACGGGCTTTAAGACCCAGAAGAACCTCAGGCATTACTGACATGTGGCTGTGGAAGGGGTTTGGGTAGAGAGCAGGAGGAAAATGAGGACTGGCTGTTCTTAAGGGCATTGACTCCTACCTGTGCCATGGAGGACATGCCAGGACTCCCTTACCGTGGAAGGCACCACAGGCTTAGATCAGGGCCCAGTCTCTAAACATGGTCATGTTCTAAGGAGGTTAGGGATTCAGTGTAGGAATCTAATAGACACAGTTCAGCCAGTGGTAGACAGTTTCAACCCCCTAGGAAATTGATCAATGAGAGGGTCCATCACCCCCCCAAAGAGGACTTAAAGAAAGGGGTCTTTGAAGACAGGATATTTGGCTGATGAGCGCATACAGAGGAGTTAGCTAGACAGAAATGAACATGGTGAGGAGAGGGTAGGGTTCCCAAAGCAACAGGTAATGTTTGTCCACAGAATGCTTTAGAGGGTCAGATCAATATCCAGGTCAATCAATCCCTCAAGGCCATTGCTGACCTCCATGAGGACAGCTGCAGAGTGGGGTCTTACAGGCTAAGGAGAGAAGGACATCATAGGCCAGGAAGGGATGAGCAGCTAGGACCATGTTCCATCAGAAAGAGGTTCTAATTAATCCTGCATGCTGCTTTGTTGAATCTTTTGTCCTGCCCAGCTAGAATGTAATGGTGCTTAATCTGGAGCCTTTGACCAACAGATAAAGGGCTCAGTTCTTCCTTGTAGAGGATGAGCATCAGCCCCCATGTTTCCATTACTGTACCAGAGCTGGGTGAATGGATGTCTCCCACCACCTGCTTGTCTTGTTTCCTCTGACCTAATTCAGCAGCATTAAAACAATTACAGACAAATCTTGGATCTATTAGAGTTTCATCTTAGGCTGCCTCTCCCACTCCAACATGCACACAAGCACACACATGTGCATATGCACACTCATACACACACACACACACACACACACACACACACACACACACACACACACACACACACAATTGTATGTATAATGTACTCTCACACATGCATGATCACTTGGAAGCATACATGTACACACGCATGCTCATAGGAACAAAACTTGTGAACCTGGATCGGAAGGGGCTCCCTTTGTAATAGGTGGGACCTGGCACGGTTCCACTCAGCAGCCACTCACTCAGTGTCATAAAGGGCACTGTTGCCTGTGAATCATAGAGCCACTGTAAGAGGAAAGATTAGTGAACAAGCCTCTCAAGATCCAGAGCCTAGAAAATGGTGCCATTGTGTTTGCTGCTTGGATCCTAGAGTTCAATCCAGACAACCCATTCCAAGACCAGGACTCTTCCTCCATCCACAGCCAAAAACATATCTATGCTCTGGGTTCTAAATTTGTCCTGCAGCTGCCTGGTGGGTTCCATGAAGACATTATTTGCCCCAACCTGCGGGGCACCACGTGCAGTCACCAAAGAACCTAGAACAATAGGGTCAGGGAGAACAAGGAACCACAGCAAGACAGGTTTCGGATCAAGCTGCAAATTTTATTTTTCACAGGGACCTTATATAAGGGTGCCAATCAGGGAGCTTGGCAAGCAGGGAGAGATTGTTTGAAGCTGCATGCCTGATAACCAAACCGTGGGATGCCCCTGTGTGTGAGTCCTTGAGAGTGCAGGATGTTACCAAGGTCGCAGGGTGCAGGTGTTAGATAGTGGGTTAGAAGGGGGGAAGGGTTGCTAGGTAACCTGACCGTGAAATGTATCTTTCCTTCTATAAGCTACTTTATGAGCCTAGGGAGGGAAAGATTGAAGGCAGCTCTTCTTTTAACATAAAGGGTTGTTCTTAAAACGCTGGCAACTTTCTCTGAAGCAGCCAAAGTCTCTTACAGGTCCAAGATTACTTTTGCCATGGCCCCCGACAATTATTCATAGTATCTCCAAGTCTGCAGTAATGAGTGGTGTTAGGATCTATTTACTGTGTGTCAGAGACAAGAGATGATGAAAATAATGATGACAGACATGAGGATGATAGTGATGACAATGATGAAGACAAAGATGATGGTGATGATGATGTCGGTGCTGGTGGTGGTGATGATAATGAAGTTAAAGATAATGATGGCAGTGATGGTGAGAAAGATGGTGATGATGACAGTGACAGGACTCAGCATAAAAGCTGCAGTACTAGACGCAGGATTGGAGGCCTATGAAGCGACTCCCTTATGCCTGGTACTGTTTTAAGTACTTTCTGCCATATTATCTCATTTAATCTTCATAAAAACTCCATGTGCTACTCACATTGGCCCCAGTTTATACATGCCACTAATAAAAGATTTATTTATTATGTATACAACATTCTGCTTCCATGTATATCTGAACACCAGAAGAGGGCACCAGATCTCATTATAGATGGTTGTGAGCTACCATGTGGTTGCTGGGAATTGAATGCAGGACCTTTGAAAGAGCAGCCAGTGCCCTTAACTGCTGAGCCATGTCTCCAGCCCAACACCCAGCATATTTGTAGACCTTTACCAAGCTATTTGGTAATATTAAGACAACTTCAGTATTTTCTTCTATTCCAAATAAACTAGAACACACCTAGGCCTTGACTTGGCTTTACTGACTTCTTCCTGTGACTAACAGCCTCTCCCTGGATTAGTTTCTTTTGCATAATGGTCAAGAATGTGTGACAGACACATCTTAAAGGAGGAAGGGTTTCTTTGAGCTCACAGTTTCAGGGCATTCTACCCATCATGGCAGGGAGAGCACAGCAGGAAGCAGAAGAGGATACAGGGAGGGACCAGAGTTATGCCCTACCTCTGACCCATTGCCTTCCCATCATGCCTTCATATCATGAGTCCATCAAGAGCTTGACTTGACTCGGTAGTGGTGGCAGCAGCTCACACCCTTTATCCCAGGACTAAGGTGGCAGAGGCAGGCAGAACTCTGAGTTTGAGGCCAGCCAGGACTGTTAACACAGAGAAACCCTGTCTCAAAAAACTAAAGAATAGGAAAGAGAGTGATTCGTTGATTCAGTCAGAGCCTGCATGATCTACTCATCTCTGGAGACACTCCCACAGACCCATCCAGGTGAATTTCCCTAATCTGTTTCTCATTCCAATCAAGTTGACAGTCAAGATCATCCGTGCTACTTCCCTCTTGTGCCAGGTCCTGGACAACCTGGACAGCCACCTGAAGAAGTCAGAGTACTTCCGCTTCCACTGGTTTCCTCACAGTGAGAATGTCAACATCATCTACCAAGACCACACCAACAAGGTAACTGCAGTGAAGACCCAGCCTTGCCCAGCATCCTGGAGCAGGGGGCTGCTGGTCACCAGCGTACACACTCTGCATCTTCACACACCCACAACCTGCACACCCTCCCCATCCCAGAGTAGTCGACCTTTGTCCTGATGGCTAGGGATATGGGATTGTCATTGAATGCGAAGAGAGGAAGAGGCAGAGGGGAAGGTGAGAAGGAAGGTGGAGAAGTTGGGGTCCATGTGTCAAAGGGAAAACCTAGATGTGGGGGAGAGACGCAGGGAAAAGTACGTATAGGAGAAGGCAGGATGGATGGATCTGAGTCAGGCAGCTGGGCTGGACCACACAGAATCCTTCATGTGCTCCTTCTGTAACACCTCCGCTTCAGATGAAGAGACAAAATTTTGTCTGCTGTACTCACAGCCTTGCAAATAAGGAGCTTCTCAGCAGAAGGAAACAAATGTAGCAGGCTTTCTTTTAGACCACCAACCAGCTCCCAAATCATGACTGGAGACTTATTAACTATGAATGCTCAGCTTTGTCTTATGCTTGTCCCGCTAGCTCTTATAATTTCAATTAACCTGTTTCTCTTCATCTATATTTTGCCTCGGCTTTTTACCTTTCTTTCATTCTGTATGTCCTAGTCCGCGTCTGAGCAACTCGCTCTCTTTCTCCCTCATTCTCTCCTTCTCCACTTGAGCCTAGCTTCCTGCTTCTACTTATTCTTTCTGCCAGCACCCCACCTATCCCTCTGCTACCTAGATACTGGCTGTTTAGCTTTTTATTAGACTATTCAGGTGCCTTAGGCGGGCAAGGTAAAACAGAAACACAACTTTCCATGATTAAACAAATGCAGCATAAACAGATGTAACACATTGTATATAGTTAAAGTAATATTGTAGTCCAAAACAGACAAAGCCAACACTTACCAGCTAGGGTGTTGGCTTTGTTGATAAAGTGTTTGCCATGCAAGCATGAGGACCCATGTTTGATCCCCAACATCCAGAAAAAAAAATAAATATAAAGAGGCTGGGGGAGAGGGTAGCACACAGCTGTTATCCCAGCTCTGAGGAAGTGAAGACAGGAGGAATCCTGGGTCTTGCTGGCCAGTCACTCTAGCTACTTGGCAAGCGCCAGGTTCAGTGTGAGACTGCCTAAAAACTTAAGATGGAAAGACTAAAGAAGAGACTCAGTATTGACCTTTGGCCTCCACATGTGCATCGGTGCATATGTAAACACACACACAATGTTTAAAATGCCATAATTTAAAAATGAATGTCTGTGGTATCCCAAATCCAACTGTGTAGAGGGGCAGTGTAGGGTTTGTAAGGGGTGGCTGATGAATACCTGGATCATGGGCTCTCAAGGTAAGGGACAGATGGTATATTTGTCTTATGAAAAATAAAGGCAGGCCAGAGAAGATAGCTCACTTGGAAAAGACATTTGCTGCCAAGCCTGATGGCCTGAGTTAATTCCTGAGACCCACTTGGTGGAAATTAGCTCTCCGTGGAGAAATAAGGCTGCCAGTTGTCCTGGTAGGTAGGTCATCTCACTTTCCTCCCTCCTTCTCTAACATAAAGTCCTCTTGGGACATGTCTTCTGTAGTTGTTTTTGGTTTTTTTGTTTTTTGTTTTTTTATTCTTTTTACTCTTTGCTCTTTTGAGAGGCCCACCACTCAGCTCCCAAATAAATCACAAGGAGGCTTATTCTTATGAATGCCCACCCAGCCTTAGCTTGGCTTGTTTCTAGCCAGATTTTCTTAAGTTATCCTGTCTACCTTTTGCCTCTGGGCTTTTTCCTTTTCTTACTTACCTATATCTTCTTACATTCACTCTTATTGTGTGGCTGGCTGGGTGGCTGGACCCTCGTGTCCTCTCTTAATATTTTTCTTGCTCTCTGCCTGCCAGTCCCACTTATCCTTCTGCCTTGCTATTGGCCATTCAGCTCTTTATTAGACCAATCCGGTGTTTTAGACAGTAACACAGCTTCACAGAGTTAAACAAATCCAACACAAAAGAATGCAACACATCTTTGCATCATTAAACAAATATTCCATAGCATAAATGAATGTAACACTTCTTAAAATAACATTCCACAACAGTCTTCTAATGGAACGTCATAATAAACAAGTCAGAAAGAAGTTGAGTCCCTGGTGCCTAACTCATAACCTTATCCCTCCCAGGCCCCCTCCTCTGCATCTAACTGGTTTTGGGACTATGCCATCGGGTTCTACCTATTGGAGTTCTTGCTCTGGATCAGGTAGGAATGCCACGGGGCCTCTGTCCCATCTTCTGTATGCACGGAGGATGCAGTCCATCAGAAGAGGCCCTGCCTTTACACCTGCAAACTGGGTCAGCCTTCTGGGTCCAGGGCCATGGTTTCAGCCCTGGCTGCACATTGGAATCACCTGGAGAGCTTGGGGTTTATTCTAAGGACAATGAAAGTCATTACAAGGATTTGAAGGAGAATAAGGCACCCTGGGGGCTGTGAGCCAGTGGACCAGGAAAGGCAGGAGGAATTTGAGATGGAAGAAAGAGGGGGATGAGTCTACTTGAGCAGTGCCTGTAACAAGTCAGTGGGGATAGAGGTGGGAAAGTGGTGGATGGGTGAATGGTTTGGTGGATGGATGGGTGGTTTGGTGGATGGATGGGTGGTTTGGTGGATGGATGGGTGGTTTGGTGGATGGATGGGTGGTTTGGTGCAGGCATAGCAGTGAAGGATTGACCATCACACAGCAGGAAGGACACAGAAAAAGGAAAAGGTCTGTGGGCAGATACACAGTCAGAGACACACTTGAAGTGACCTAATTCCTCTAACTGAGTCCCACCTTCTGATAGTCCTCACAACTATGAAATCACTGGTGTGTCAACCCACTGATAAAGGTAGCATCCACCTCATGATCTAATTAACTCCAGCCGAAGAGCAAACCCATGTTGGAGTGTGTGTGTGTGTGTGTGTGTGTGTGTGTGTGTGTGTGTGTGTATGTGTGTGTGTGTGTGTTAAACGATGGCATGTGAACTTTCTAGAGCCAAAAGTTAGGAGGCAATTGTGTCTTGGCCCAAGAAGCACTGAGACTCTTTCTATAGTTCCCCAGGGAACTCCCAGCATTGTGTCTAGGGACAACAGTCTAACCCAAGGCCCTCTCCCAGGACACTTCCCCTTTTAGCAGCTTACTCTTGACAGTGTTGAATCGAGGCTCCCAGGGTGTAGAAGGAGCTTGAATGGCACCTGCTGAAATTAAATCTCCACTCCCACCTTGCCTTAGCTTTGAAACATGAACATTTGTTACCATGAAGTGACAAGACACTGTATACAGTCTTTGCTTGTTTGTTTGTTTTTCAAGATGGGGTTTCTCTATAGCTTTGGAGCCTATCTGAAGCTCATTCTGTAGACCAGGCTGGCCTCAAGCTCACAGAGATCTGCCTATCTCTGTCTGCTTCTTGAGTGCTAGGATTAAGGCATGCACCACTATCACCTAGCAACACTGCACAGTCTTTAAGGGCTGGAGGTAGGGAAAAGGTGAAGTAAAGTGGCCACTGTCCCTATCCAGACCAACACCATATTGGCCCTGCCAGGATACAACAAGGCCACTAGGAGAGTAGGAGTGAGGAGTAGGGGCCTGGTGTGAAAAGAACTCAGCCCACAGCTGACACACAGTGATTTCTGGCCCTTCCTCCTCTGCTCTGCCCCCTGCCTGCAGCACCTACCTGCCTTGCCTCGTGGGCTGGATCAACCGCTTCTTCTTCTGGCTGCTGTTCAACCACAAGAAGGAGAGCAGCAACCTCAGCCACAAGATCTTCACCTACGAATGTCGTTTCAAGCAGCACGTCCAAGACTGGGCCATCCCCAGGTGAGTGCACTCCCCCCGGGCCTGCCATGAGAAACGTTCCCTCTAGAGCTGGGAGTCCCCATTGCCATGAACACCCCCGGGGGCTGAGATCTCCAGGGAGCCCTGTATCCAGCCACAGAGGAGGATTGGGTAGCCTCTTCTTACTGCAAGGTCTCTCCTTGGCTGAGGGCAGGGAGAAGACCAAGGAAGCTCTGCTGGAGCTGAAGGCCATGCTGGAGGCCCACCCCAACGTGGTAGCCCACTTTCCTGTGGAGGTGCGCTTTACCCGAAGTGACGAAATCCTGCTGAGCCCCTGCTTCCAAAGGGACAGCTGCTACATGAACATCATCATGTACAGGTGACAGCCCACTGCAGGGTGTGGGTGGAGGGAACCGTCCCCTCATGTCCTCTCCATTCCTCAATCTTCTCCTGTCTGTTTCTGAGGCCGCCTTCTCGACTGGGCGATGACACTGATCCTAGCAGCTGGAAATGGCACCTCACTCAACTCTGAGTTCTTATATGACTTCCTCCCTGCAAACTCCTGTGACATGTACCCACTGATAGTCTGTAGCTTTGTCTCTGTATCCTAACATCAATAGTGAGTTAATAGTAATGAGCAATATTTACTATTAGTTAGGACGGTACATTGGGATGAACAATCTATCCTAGCACAGGTGCCCAAGTCAGTAAGATTTCTGCTGGCCTGGAAGAAGCCACGCTACATTGAGACCAGTTCTGAGGCTGGCTTAAATTCAGTGGAAGAGACGTTAACCTGATTGTTAGGATGTATTTGTCAATCCTAGTGACTGAACGCAAGCCCATGGCTGACCTTCTTTTGTCTCTTTTCAACCAGCATGAGGCACCTGAAGGGGTTTGCCTTTTCTGGTTCCCTGCTAATATGTATCCGTCATCTGCCACCCACCCCTCCTCCCATCCTGCTTCTTGCCTCCACGTGGCACAGGCCTTCTCTGGCTTCGCAAAAAAAAAGTGGCCACCCTGATCTTTTCAGGGAGTTCCTCCCCCATGTGTAAGCCCCAAATCCTTTCAAAGCCAGGGACAACTGACTTCACAGTTCTTAGGGGGCCCCGGAGCCGCAAGAGTTTCTGAAAGACACACTGAAGGAAAAGTAGTCTAGTTCATGGAGGATGTGGCTATGGTGAAGCTCGCGTGCCAGCTGTCTGTGTGTCTCCTGTTCTTGTTCCTTGAATTCTGCTGCAGAAGTGAGTTGCCAGGGGCGCATCTGACTGTGCTTGTTTGATGCCAGCACTGAAGTCAGCTTTGGGGGCCAGTCACTTTGGGTTGAGTCGCTGAGTAGGAAGACTGGAGACATTCACTAGGTTACACAGCCATGCTTTCCAGACAGGAATGAGGTCATCCAGGGATTTCAAAGCACTATGCGTGTATATGATATGTGTGAGTATTGTATGTGACTAGTATGTTGGCACTGCACAAAGATCGTGTGAATTATGTAATCTATATCATGTGTAAATACTAGCTTTGTAACTATTGTGTGTGTTGTATTTAATTATTGTGTATAAGTATTATAGGGTAGAATTTATATTATTTGTATATTGTGTGAATACTGTATCTATGTGTGTATTGTGTGACAGTAAGGAGTTGCTTTCAAAGGGGACGCATTCTGACAAACACATCATTAACAATTTTGTCACAATGAATGTCACCCTGTGAAAACCTTCTGCACACCCCTGTTAGGCTGCTTGCCTGTGCAATGCACTGTGTCTGTTTTATACTATTGTAACTAACCTGTGTAAAGCAATGACCAGGACAAGAGAAACTTTTTTAGCTCCGTTACCTTAGGGTCTTTGGCCAATATTAAACTCACAGTAATGTCCAGCCAACAACTGATAAATATACAAGGAGACAAAGTCCTGGGGATCCCTGGGGGATGTGCTATGAGCAGAAGCCCTCAGGTGCCTGTCCTGGCTGTGCTGTCCTGCAGGAAGAGCCAGCCTGATCTCCAGTCAGTTGGCAGATTCGGGCAGGTCACTGCACCTGAAGCAGTGATGGCCTGGCTAACCATCTTCTTCCTCTCTTCCCTAGGCCCTATGGCAAGGATGTGCCTCGGCTGGACTACTGGCTGGCTTATGAGACCATCATGAAGAAGTTTGGAGGCAGACCCCACTGGGCAAAGGTAACTTTCCCCTTCACCCATAGCCATGGGGCTACTGCTATATTCTTTGCTTCCACCAGAGGGCGCCCCTCCTCTCCATTACTCGGAGGAATCTAACCCCTAGTAAAAGGTACCGGATGCCTCTCCTGTGCTCCAGCTCCAGAAGCCCAGATGTTGCTGGGCCCTTGGGGTCTTCATAGTAACTTCCTTCACTTTATCGGATTTTCCTGTAGCGCTTGTGAGCAGGATAAGGCAAGCATCTTTATGTCCATTTAACAGATAGGAAAGTGGAAGGCTTGTGAGGTGGTGGGACCAGAGCCAGGCCCTCCATGGTATTATGGGATGAGGATACCAGAAATGAATTCTCAGCTCCTTTAGCTTTACTTTCCAGATCCCTTTCTGTCTGGGATTCTGTACTGTGTGTAGAACATGGGGGAGCAGGCTCAGGGACTCTGGGTGGTGGCCTGCAGCTTGGCCTGCCAGCTCTGTGAAGACAAAGCCTGCTGCATCTGATTGCTTCCACAGGCCCACAGTTGCACCAGGAAGGACTTTGAGAAGATGTACCCTGCCTTTCAAAAGTTCTGTGAAATCCGTGAGAAGCTGGACCCCACTGGGATGTTCTTGAATTCATATCTGGAGAAGGTCTTCTACTAAAGCAGGGCTGGCAGCAGCCACCCCCACCCTTCATGTCCTGAAGCCTTTGAGGGATGGAACAGTTTCCCACCAGCACAATGGGGGCTGACCTCCACTCCTGGCTACACAGAAGGGCTTGGCTCTGGGAGGGGCCTCTCTGCTCCCTTCTCTGCCATCTTCAAAGCATCCCAGGCAAGAGGTGGCCTCTCACTCAGATTCCTGTTTGCATTCACATGAGTCCCACACACATTACAATCGTCCAGACTGGGGATTTGGTTCATTCCTAGACTCTGCTTGTCAGCCAGGTACAGTGAGGCTCCCAAGGCCTGCTGTTCTCCAGATCTCTTCAGAAGGGATCCCTTGGCAAGAGTTTTAGCACAAAGGTGGCATGTCTGTTGGTCCTGGGCAAGCCATCTTCCAGATGGGTCCCTCTGGCCTGACCAGCATGGCCTGGCCCTCACAGTGTCTCTTTCAGGAGGTGTTCAGAGTGGAACTCACCTTGTCTGTGTGTCTCTCCCATCACCTTTGAGACAGGTCTTAGGAGCAGGGTCTCACCATGTCCCTGGCTTTCCCCGGGTATTGTTCTCACCTTCCTCTTCACAAATGTGATTTCAGTTTGCTCTGGAGTGTTACTTGGAGAACCAAGATGCTCCATCCAGCTACTTTGAAAATATTAAAAGACTCTGAAGATATTTTTCTGTCTTTGAGAAATTCATATTTTAATCATACCTCATAAAAAGTTAAAATGCAAAATGTACTTACCAACAGAACTGCCAGATCAGCAAAGGGGCAAAGGACTTGGATAGATATTTCTCTATAGCAGATACACAAAGGCCACCTGAACACATAAAAAGATGTTCAACATCATTGTTTTAAGAAAGTGCAAATGAAGTCACAGCGACATGACACTATTAGTATCAACAGTAGCAAATATTTTAATGTAGGAGCTTACTTAAAATATAGTTTTTGAATTTTTTTGAAACTTGATTGCCTGTTTCTATTTTTTTTTTTTTCTGAGACAAGTTATCTCTGTGGCTTTGGAGGCTGTCCTGGAACTAGCTCTTGTAGACCAGGCTGATCTCAACTCACAGATCTGCCTGTCTCTGCCTCCTGAGTGCTGGGACTAAAGGCCACCACCGCCCGGCAATTGCCTGTTTCTTATGTGTGAACTGTTGTAGGTGATAATGCCATGTTGACCGTCCAAAAGGCTAGACATGCCCATTAGGGTAAAATTTGGCCTGTAAGAGTCCACACTAACTCCAGCCAAAGTTTGCTGCCTTTGGGGCGGCCTTGCAGACTGAAATCACAGGTGCCTAGGTCCAATATTGAACCCCTTGCTATTGCTGTATCCGTTGGTTGTTTTTCTCTCAAGGGCTCTGGAATGGATTGGGGTGGCTAATGGGAGTCAGTGTGTGTCTGGAGAGATGGCTCTAGAATTTAAGGGCGTACACTGCTCTTGTGGAGGACCCAAGTTTGATCCCCAGAGACTTACAACCACCCATAGCTCTAGTTCTCTCTTCTGGACCCTGGGTATTTGCACTCAGGTGTACAAACCCACACATGCATATATACAAGTAGATTTTTAAAAATAGTAGCAAATAAACCCGAGGCATTGGAAATAACCAGGTCTAAATCAACCCACCCCTGCCCTTCCACAAAAGAGCCTCAGGGAAGTAAAGAAACTTGTCAGCATCTCAGAGCACTACATAAAGCAAGGTCTTTAAACTCAACTACAGTGAGGGGAATGAGACAGGCTGCATAGGCATAGGGGGAAGGGCCAACGGTTTGTTGCTTAAAGAAAAATGAAACCACAGAGCTGTCTGATAGTGAAACACCGATCAGTGGCCAACATCGCTGACCAAAATGCTCACTGACTGTCCTTGGCTTCACTATAATGGCAGCTTGCCTCCCCTGGGCTTGCAAGATTGCCTTCCCCATTATTCATCTGATGCCATAACACATCTGGAAAACCCCATAAAGGGCAAAAAGAGGTGAACCCCATTCTGGGGAAATCCACACATAGAATCTCCCACCCCACTTGGAATTCATAAACAACCTCCCTTCCATTAAGTTTGCTCATAAAGGGGGCTATCCAAGATCCCAGTGACTCCAGTCCCTTGAGAAGCCCTCACTTCCTCAAGTGCTTAAGGGTTGTCTGTCTCCTGCCCATGCTTAAACTAAAGCCTGCACTGTCTTCGTAACAAGTCCAGGACTTTCCTTTACTTACTCAACTCCAACTCCACTTCAGACTGACTCATCCTAAAAATATTTTTTTCATCAGAAGGCTGTACCCAAGTAGCAGCCTGGGGAGAGCTTCCCCTACTGCTGGAGACAAAAGCACCCTTTACAGCATGCGTTCAGATAGTTTACATTCGATTCTTAAGCCCTATGGATGGAGCATTCTATTCAAGACATATAAGCAGCAAGAACTCAGTCTAATGACTTAGATCTGAATCCTCCAAGTTCCTTAATTCTTCAGTTCCCGGGTTGATTAGTCAACCCAGTATTCTGGAAATACTCATTCCAGTTGCCAGTATCCTTAGGGGCTTTGGCCTCTGATGAATGCAAGTTATTCTTTCTTAGCGCTGGTGTCTTTTGACCCCTGAAGGCCATCCATTCAGAAGACTCTCGTGGCACCATCCTTTTGATACTGTGATGTGTGCTGAGCCCCTGTGTTGGGCTTCGAAGGGCATTGCTGATCTTGATGCCCCTTTCCTCCCTCATTCCATATTTCTCCTGTTTCTTCTATTCCAAGTTCCCATTGGGTGGGTTCTGTCTGCAGCCACCTCCCCATCACCTGAACCTGAAGCAGAAACCAGTTCATCCATCCCCTGGTGGCAAATACTGGCTCCTCTCCAGATGTGGGAACTCAAGGGTGTGTGTGGGTGTGTTCATGTCTGCTGAGCCTGGACTCTAATAAGTGGGCAGTAATCAATAGAGCATGAAAGCAATTAAAATCAAGTAGTACGATGAGGACCGTGTTCATGTCTGCTGAGCCTGGACTCTAATAAGTGGGCAGTAATCAATAGAGCATGAAAGCAATTAAAATCAAGTAGTACGATGAGGACCAGTGCCCTCCTGGTGTTTGTGTGGGGGGGGGGGGGGGGGGGGTTGATTAGGATCACAACACAGCATCAGCTCTCCAAGCCGAATCTGGAGAGAGAGGTGACCAACCACACTTCTTTCCAGATGCCCCCTTGTCCCCATACTTCTTGGGTATGCAGCTGAGGAAAAAGAGGGACCAGTGTGAGCACCGAGGCTTGCTTGGAGCACAGTCACTAGCTCATTACTCTGAGGTTCTTGCCAGACCTGAAGAGCAGGACACTTTAAGGCTGAAGACAAGTGACCCTTATGCCCTGGGCTCTCTGGCTCAGGATAGGACAAATTTAGATAAGTTGGCCAGGCCACCAGTATGGTGGCCCAAATATGCAGTGCCTCCACAGGCTTCCCTGTCTGAGTCCTTGGTCTCCAGCTGGTGGGGATGGTTGTGAAACTGTTAGAGGAGATGAAGGCTCATCAGTTTGTATCTGGAACTGTCAGCTCTTTCTCCCTCGAATTGCTGTTACTGGGATATTTTTATCACAGCAATAGGAAGTAACTAAGACTGGAGAATGGATCGGCTCTAACACCTTGGAATCTTAGATAAGACACGGTGACCTGTCAGGAGGCAGACTGTTAGAGCCATCAAAGCTCACCAATGGAGGGAACACATAGTTCAGGAAGGGCCCTCTCTAGTCCTTCCATGGTGACCTCTTATAGGTCTCTGGACTGGGCCTAAAGCTGTCCCCAGCACCTAACATGTGTGCCTGCCATGGCCTAAACAAAAAACTGACCTTGAATGTCTCTGAGAAGGGAGCAGACACCAAGCTCCACAAACCATAGCTGGCTTCACATAACTAATTCATAAGTTAGGTTCCCTGGTCCTTGTAAGTAAGGTCCCTTCCTGAGGTCTTGTTCAAGATGGATTCTATCACAAGAATGGCAAAGTGGAAGCCAGAAAAATCATTCCAAAGAGCCTAATCACACAGGCCAAGGAGACCTAGGAATGGGAATCTACAAAGAGGGGCAATACCACCAGGCATTGTGGAGCAGAGGTCACTAAATGTCTGAGCTGTGAACTTCAACCTTGTCCTGATGTTGTCTCCATGAGGCGGGACCTTTGAGAGGTCAAGAGAAGCCCAGACATCTCCAGAAAATTCTAAAAGGGAGTCACCATGTGTTTGTTAGTTTCATGTTCTTGACATGTGTTTCTAGACACAGATGTCTTCACACAGCCAGAGTAAGACAGTAGCATGTTGTGTTTAAGGCTGTCAAGGTCATCATGGTCCAGTTTCAGACCTATTGACTGCTGATCTGTGCATTCCTGGAATGGTGTCAGTGTGTCATTGTGGCCTTACACTTACAACATCATTGGCAAAGATGTCATGGCATTCATGTTCACTTATGAACATGAGCTGGGAGAAAGTGGCCCTCCAGTTACCCCCATCCTGTGACGTGCCTTAGTTCTGGAGGCAGTCACCGAATCAGTCTGGTAACAAATCAAAACATGGTCTTTGTTCCCCTGGGTGCCGGTACAAGTGAGGGCAGGTTGATCATGGTACCCAAACCTGTAACAACTCCATCCCAAGCCTAGATGAACCCTCATCCACTTGTGACAGAGTCCATCTTGGACCAGAGATGGTCAGTTCCACTGCTGGACCACAAGTCACTGAGCTGGGGCAGGAAGAACTGTGCAAACACTGATGATGCCCAGCCATCATGAAGCAATGTCATACTCGGCAAGAAATACAGCGGGGATACTGGGATCAGAGGTGAAACTGGATTGGAGTGGGAACAGCACAGAGGCAAACAGTTCCTTGCGAACCTTGTGAGATTGCTTGGCATGGTGTGCTGTCTGCTATCTCATCAGCAGGGTCAGTGCTGGGCTCTGATGGTCCAAGCCCTTCCTGCACCTTCTCTTCATCTTCCTCATGCATCTTGGGTTGACCAAGCTCTGATAGAAAACACCCAGCAAGGCTAGGTCTGCATAGGACACTGAGCTAGAAGAAGCCTTGGCATCTATAAGGCCACCGTGAAGCCCCTTGGTACCTGAATCTGCTATTTACTAGCTTTAGGACTGCAAATAAATGGCCCCTGTCATTTCTACAGTGTCAATCACAATGGCCTGAGATCCCTGCAAGAAACAAAGTGGATGTGCTCAATGGAGATGTAGACTATGGCTGATCAGTGTCACCTGCTGGCAGCACCAGATACTGCAGCTGACGTACAGCTCAGCCTGAGTTGTGGAGGAATAAATTTAAAACCACAGAGAAATAAACACCCAATAAAGAGGCAAAGATTGTATGGAGAGGCAGTGACCAGAGACCACCATGGTTTAGAAGTGTCCCAGGGTTCCAAGTTCTTACAAAAATAGGAAACTGTCTCTTAGTCTGGCCTCCTGCTGGCCAATTTCCACGGTTACACCTTAAAACACCCGTGTGTCTTATTGGCCTCTCTTTGCCTTGATTTTCAGTGCATTGTCTTGAGAGACTCCCCTATAGAAGACACCACAACCACGCCTCCTCGGGGCTGGCTACCGGTGTGCCCGACCACACCCACCAGGGTGACGTGAGGGAGGTTCAAGAGTGAGGGGCTCGCACATGGGAGCCCCTTATTTTTCCCTGCTTCATCGGCT